GAGAGAGAGAGCGCGAGAGAGAGAGAATCTTGAGAATGGTCATGGGGAGAATGGACCAAAACCTGCTCAACCTGTTACAATTTTTCAATTTATCAGCTCATACCATATCTCAAGTTACAAAGCTTCACATGCCAGAGACTCCCAATATTTGAGACATGGATAAACAGAAAACGGAGTGGGAGGAGGCCAGTTGACCCTTAAAGCCTCCTCTGCCATTCATCATGATCATGGCTGATCCTCTAATTCAGTGCCCGATTCCAGTTCTCTCCACATACCCTTTGATCCCTAGAGTCCCAGAACTGTATCTGACTTCTTCTTGAAAACATTTAATCTACTTTCTGTGGCAGAGAATTTCACAATCTCACCACTCTCTGGGTGAAGAAACTTCTCATTTCAGCTCTGAATGGCCTAGCCCATATCTTTAGACTGCGACGCCTGATTCTGGATCCCTAGACATTGGGAAAATCTTGCCTGTATTTATCCTGTTCAGTTTTGTTAGAATTTTATAGGTTTCTATGCGATTCCCCTCATTGAATATAATCTCTCTTCATGCCATCCCAGGAATCAGTCTGGTAAACCTCTGCTGCACTTAGGTGTTAACAGGAAACTAAGCTCATTTTTTTGGTGTTTTATTGCAACATTTGTGTCTTTTTAAATACATCCAAGGAGTTTGCCTCAGTGCATTTTGTTTTTTCTTTATTTCATACGTATGAGCTGCGTTAGAAATGAAAAGCCTGATGACAGGCCATACTGTTCCTGACTAATATGAAACTCAAATGTTTGTATACGAAGAGGAAATTTTGGTCAGCAACTTCCTTAGCCCCAGTTGCTATTCCGATTAACAACCTCTTTATATTTGTATTGGTGAGTCTTGCAGGATCTTTGGGCATGGCGTGATACCTGTAGAATGGATACATTTTTAGGTCTATCTGCTTTTGAACGTCAGAAGGACAGAGACTAGAGGCAGAACAGAAATGAACAACATTACAGCTTCATCCTGAAAGACTGGCTGGGAGTCATACTTAAATCATGTCATAACAATTTTTTAAAAATTTAAATTCCTCGCCTACAGGCTGCCAAAAACGTGCACATTATTTCAGAGGTCCTGGTACACAAAACACAAAACCACATAACATTAGGCAATGGTAATAGCCAGCAAAAGGAGGACGGAATGCACAAAAATGTCAGAGCTGGTAACACAAAGCAGTAAGAACATTATAGAATGGGTGCCTGTCAAAGAAACAGGAAGCCAAAGTCATGGAGGGATTTGAATACAAGGATGAGATTCTAATGTGAGGAGTTGGAAGAACCAGGAGCCAAGGTGTCTTAGGGAGCACACATAGCTGTGCACTTACATAACTCTGTGAAACTTGCAATGGATATTTCTTTGGGAGCTGTTTGTCTTCTAGCACTTGCTCCTTCTTTCTTAGCACACTGTTCACAACTTGAAAACAAAAGTTTGCATTTTTGGTCATTGAAAAATAGACTTTGGAAGATCACAATATTATTTCAATAATATCACAAGAAGATGGGGAAAGCTTTGGCTAAATATTCAGGTGCCAAGGAGGTAAAGAGGTAGCTAGGATTGGATTTTAAGCTGCATCAATATTGAGTCAGACAGCACGGAAACAAACCTTCAGTCCAACTCATCTGCAATGTCCAGACATCCCAATCTGACCTAGTCCCATTTGCCAGCATTTGGCCCATATCCCTCTAAAACCTTCCTGTTCATATACCCATCCAGATGCCTTTTAAACGTTGTAATTGTACCAGCCTCCATCACTTCCACTAGCAGCTCGTTCCACACATGGACCACACTCTGCGTGAAAAAGTTCTTTTTAAATCTTTCCGCTGTCAACTTACACCCATGCCCTCTAGTCTTGGATTCCCCCACTCTAGGAAAAAGATCTTGATTTTTCATCCTGTCCATGCCCCTCATTATTTTACAAAACCTCTAAGGTCACCTCTCAGATTCCAACGCTCCAGGGAAAAAAGTCACAACCTATTCAGCCTCTCCCTATAACTCAAACCCTCCAATCCCAGCACCATCCTAGCAAATCTTTTCTGCACCCTTTCCAATTTAATATCCTTCCTATAGCAGGGTGACCAGAACTGTGCACAGTACTCCAAAAGTGGCCTCACCAACATCCTGTACAACCGCAACATCACACCCAACTCCTATACTCAATATTCTGAGCAATAAAGGCAAGCATACTAAATATCTGCTTCACTATCCTGTCTACCTACAATTCCATTTCAAGGAATTATGCACCTGCACCCCCAGATCTCTTTGTATGGCAACACTCCGCAGGGCCCTACCATTAACTGTACAAGTCCTGCCCTGGTTTGACTTACCAAAATGCAACAACTCACATTTAACTAAATTAAACACCACCTGCCACTCCTCAACCCACTGGATAAACTAATCAAGGTCCCGTTGTCCTCTGAGATAATATTCTTCACTGTCCACTACATCACCTATTTTAGTGTCATCTGCAAACTTACTAACCCATACTTCCTATATTCACATCCAAATCATTTATATAAATGACTAAAAGCAATGGATCTAGCACTGATCCTTTTGGCACACCGCTGCTTAGAGACCTCCAGTCTGAAAAGCAACCAGTCCCTCTGTCTTCTTCAAGCCAATTCTTTATCACTGGATCCCATGTGATCTAACCTTACAAATCAGTCTACCTTGAGGAACCTTGTCAAACACTTTGCTGAAGTCCATATAGACAACATCTACCACTCTGCCTTCATCAATCTTCTTTGTCACCTCTTCAAAAGACTCAATCAAATTAAAGAGACATGATTTCCCATGCACAAAGCCATGTTGACTATCCCTAACCAGTCTCTGCCTTTCCAAATACATGTAAATCCTGTCCCTCAGAATCCCCTCCGGCAACTTACCCACCACTGACATCAGGCTCACTGGTCTATAGTTCCCTGACTTTTCCTTACAACCATTCTTAAATAATGGCACAATATTAGCCGACCTCCAGTCTTCCAGCACCTCACCCATGGCTGTAGATGATACAAATATCTCAGCAAGAGCCTAACGATCTCTTCTCTTGCTTTCTGCAAAGTTCCAGCAAACACCTGATCAGGTCCGGGGATTTATCTACCTTTATATGTTTTAAGATCTCCAGCACCTCCCCTTCTGTAATGTGAACTTTTTTCAATACATCACTATTTATTTCCCAAAGTTCCTAACATCCATATACTTCTCCACATTAAATACGGACCCAAAATATTTGTGTAGTAGCTCACCAGTCTCCTGTCTTTCCACACATTGACAGCCACGTTGATCTTTAAGAGGCCCTAGCTAGTCTTTTGCCCTAAATTTATTTAAAGCATCTCTTTGTATACTCCTTAACTCTACTTGCCAACGGTATCTCAGGTCCCCTTTTTGCCCTCCGGACTTCCCTCTTAAGTACACTCCTACAGCCCGTATACCCATCTGGGGATTTACTCGATCCCAGCTGTCTATACTTTATATATGCCTCCTTCTTTTCTTGACCCAAGCTTCAATTTCTCTAGTTATCCAGCATTCCCTACACCTACCAACTTTGTCCCTCACTCTAACAGGAACATATTATCTCTGAACTCTCGTTATCTCATTTTTAAAAGCCTCCCACTTCCTAACTGCCCCTTTACCTGTGAATAGCCTTCCCCAAACAACGTTTGAAAGTTCCTGCCTAATACCATCAAAATTGGCCCTAATGCAATTTAGAACTTTAACTTTTAGATCAGATCTATCATTTTCCATAACTACTTTAAAACTAACAGAATTATAATCACTTTCCCCAAAGCACTCCCACACTGACACCTCCGTAACTTGCCTTGCCTTGCCTTATTTCCCAACAAAAGGTCAAGTAGTGCTCCTTCTCTAGTAGGTACATCCACATATTGAATAAGAAGGTTATATTGTACACACTTAACAAATTCCACCCCATCCAAGCCCTTAGCGCTATGACGGTTCCAGTCTATGTTTGGAAAGTTAAAATCCCCTACCATTACAGCCAGCCTTGCCTGCGTTTAGTTAAGATGCCACCTTGGTAAAGGAATTGAAGCTGATCTTAGTAATATTGTCTGGAGATTGTTAAGGAGCAGACTGCATTTAATTGCCTGCCAGGTCTTAAGAAAGCAACAGTGTACCATTTAGATCACTAACAGTTCATTTGATTATTTCTTTAACAATGAGTTGCTGAGTAAACAAATCAATATTGAGAATTTCCAGCAGTGTCTAAAAGCCACACTTACCTTGCACTACTCGTTTGCTGCTAGAGGCATGAGGAAGATTTTGAAGGACATCAGGAGACCACTTTGAACATTTTGCAAAGACTTCAGCAATACTCTAAAAATATTTATTCTGGGAATTCTTTCCATAGGCTTAAGTTCAGATAGTGAGTACTGTGCTGTTCTACCTCACTGAACACCTTACTGGAGTCACCAAGAGATATAGTACCTTGCTCTGGCATCTTGCTAGACGGTCTCTTTGGTCAGTTGGAAGAACAGAAGGAGAAAGTGAGGCCAGACACAGCATCAGCAGCTGCTTCAGGGAAGGAGGAGGATGGCAAGATGGACTGTAATCTCCTGTGGATACAGGAGATCTCTTCTCTGTTCACCGTCTCCCTCGGTCCCTGAACCAGCCTGCAGTGTGCTGTGTGCCAGCCAAAACACTCAACACCTTCAATTCTAGTGTGTGGGGGAAGCTCAAAATTTCTGCTGCACAACCACTGTGTCTCATCAGCACTTGAGTACTAAACCTTCAGGAGTGTGTTTTAACACATCCAGACAAGTTCAAATTATAGTAAATCACCAATTAGAACCAAAATTATAAGCTAAAGCTCGAATTTTAAACAGACTTGGTTTATCAGCACAGCATTTCTTTCACTCTTTGGCCTAAATAAACATATCCATTTTCTGAGAACTTTTACTTTGTAATAAACAATTCATATTTTTTGTACCTCACATGCAGCATAGATCAAAAAGGCTACCAAGGGACATGATATAAGCAAAAAAGCAGAAGTACAGTGAAAGGAAGTTATCAAAACTCATGGATTGGTCACAAATGACCTCCGCAGTGGGCAGGTAAAGGCCGCTTCTGGCTCACAAAGTTCAGTAAATGGCACAGTTTGAATTGTTAAACTAAATTATTTAATCCGATATTAAACATTAAATCAGACCATGGAATAAGGGCCACCAAAACCTAACAATTCCCTTTGTCAAGACCTCACTGAAGTGAGAAGCAATGATATACTACAGATACAAGATTTCCCAGAACAGAATGGCCTGGCTTGTCTTTCTTACTGCATGTAATGACAAAACACATGCATTTTCTAATTCAATCTAATATGGCCTAAACGTTACCTTGCAAATTCTTAACGTATGCCACACATATTTTGACATCACTGTTCTTCGGCAGTCACACTCGCAGCTGTATCCTTCTTTCAATGGATGGATTTTTATTGGGTATACTATCGCAGGAGATCCTCATACTTCATTTCTAAGTT